ACAGAGGCATTGAACTAATTGTGTGTTTCCACCCTACACAAAGAAAATAATATTGAGAGAGAATCAATAATATATATTTATCTTTTTAGAAATGAATAATATAAAATTGTATGGATGAGATTTCATGGAAAAAAATTCTTCAGATTGTGGAGAAACATATCAGAATCTAAAGTTTGTAGATCGAGCTAGGAATAAAGAAATATGTGGGTAGCACAGCACTCATGCTACTTTTATGATTGACAAACCAATTTAAAGTGTTTTTTAACGGAAAATAAGAATGTCGCCTTATGTAATATTTGCGATAAATTATGATAAAGTAAAAACTGAATAAATTCAAAGGCAAAAACTAAATTAAAAAATGATTTTGTTAGCCATGTTTTTGAATATCAAAAGTCTAAACTACACAATTCCAAAATTCAAAATACAATAAATTTTTAGTAAGGGAAAAAGAAGTTTTTAGGAAAGCTTTCTACAAATTTAAGAAGTATTCCTGAATGTTTTCAATTTTTAGTAAAGGTGTTTTTATAAAATAATGGTGTTTCTTAGATAATGCCTTGTTATTTTTATTTTTATTTTTGAGAAATTTATATAGCATACTATGATCCCACCATTTCTACAAGTTTTATTTTTTAGCTCTTATAAAACAGTGGCGTATCAATTTTATTAGAAATCGGACCAAAAAATGGTTTCGAATTTTCGAATCGAGATTCTTAAACCCCTACAATATGTTCCAAAGCTTAAGATATTCGATAATCACCGAACTGTATTTTTAAATCAGCATTCCTAGTTCCTTGAGAATTAGAATAGTTTTGAGTACAAGATGGGGAAATATTCTCAAAATCTTCACAGACAAGTCATTGGGAACTGAATGCCTTTTCTTAACGAGGTATGCTTTTCAGCTCGCTATTTACTCTATATGGAGGGAACGAAATAGCAGGAGGCATGGGGAATCACCATTACCGCCAGCGCACCTGCTTCGTAACCTCGACAAACAGGTTCGGAATAGGATCTCCTCGATACGGGAACAAAGAAATAGAAGATATGATGGATGTATGAAAGCTTGGTTTGCTTCAAAATAAAGAGTAGTCTAATGAGTTGTATAAAAACTTTTAACCAATCGTTTCACTTGATGTAAATTTTACATTTTATTCAAAAAAAAGAATAGTTTTAAGTATGAGAGGATGATGTGAAAGTTTATGGGCAAAAAGTTAAAGATGATGTACGTGGCTACGTGCATTTCTTGTCCCCCAGTATCGAATAAATTGTTAATTTCAAAATCATTCCTATAAGTACCAAAATGGAATAATAAGGAGCTTGAGGAAGAGTTTGATGACAGCTCCTTTTTAACACAAACCAATATTCTTACACACCAAACAACATTACATATTTACAATGACATGCATGGTCTTTTTCAATTTTTTTTTCTCGTTTTATTCTAATTTCGTTCTGTAAATTTGTATGTAAATGTAAATTAAAGACTTTAGTAAAGACATAAGAACATCTCCATCGGTTACTTAAGAAAAAAGAAAAATTAGTTCTTATACGAAAACCCATAAGATATTCTCTTGCAATGTGACATCTTTTAAATGGTTTACTTTTATTTTTACTAGGTTATGAACCCCCGCGATATCGCGGGGAACTCATTTTCAATAAATATATTTGATTGTGTTTATGTATTTAATTATTATGATGATATATTCAAATATATGTATAATTAACTATGTTTTAAAGTTATATCGTAAACATTTTCCAAAAATGTTAAAAACAAATTACGAAAAAAATATATAAAGAAGAATTATGATTAAAAACACTTTTGGAACATTTTTTATGAATCTAAAATTATTTATAAGTGACAAAATACCTAACGAAGAGTTATAATATAGAGATGAGAAATTCTAGCGGGTCAAAACCCAAAAATTCGGATGGAGTCGGTAGTTAGAATGACTTGTGGGTGACGAAAAACTTCGCCCGAGAATTGGTGTTTTTTGTTTGTCCACTGTTCTTTAAAATTAAAATTAAAATTTATTTTATTATATATATTCGAAAAAATATATAATTTGATGACGTAAATTACATCTATAACAAAAATAAATATTTACAAGAGTAAAAAAAATAAATATTAACTGAGTAAAAAAACTTCTTCCTTAAATATTCATGTGACGAATTGGAATCATTGTTCATTTGACGCTTACCACATTTAAAACACCCAATCACAAGCGTCACATGAGGATGTCTTCTCATATTCAGACTTTGTAATAATGTTAACGCAACATCAATATTGCTTTGTATACAATCCATATATATTACCTTAAGATAGAAACCATCATTGTTACCATATAAAATAGTTAAATAAAAAAATTCACTATATAATCTGTCCAATTCTAAGAAAAAAAATTGTTGGTACCTTTATTAGAATTTTATATGTAAAGTTGATTAAAACTTCTCCATTTTTATAATCATTCCAAAAAACTTTGGTTAGATCAAGAATAAGAAGAATTCTTTAATATTAAAATAATGTATGTTTAGAAATAGCTTAGAGAATAAAGAATTTGGACCCATTTTACACATTATTTTTTTTGGATTTATCATGAAACAAATAATCTAAGGTTAAAGAACAAAAATTTGAGAACTACTTAGAAAGAAGGAAAAATATATAGAGTTCAAAAGTCATGAACATTTAAATAGACAACTATTCATCCAAAAAGTTGTGACGGAAAAATGTAATGAAATATAGTGAAGAGACGTATTTAAATGAATAGATGCAACTATAAAGACACAAAGGTAAACTAAAAAAATACAACTATAATTGAACAAATATAACTGTCAATATTTTAATGAAAAAATGCGAGAAAAAGACACAATTTAGAAAAAATAACCGTCAATATTTAAATGGAAAGTAGTGATAAAAAGATACAAACGAAAAAAGTAACCGTGAATATTTTAACAGAAAGTTGTGATAAAAAGACACAACCGAAAAAATAACCGTCAAAAAAAGAAGTTACCGTTAATATTTTAACGAAGAGTTGCGATAAAAAGACACAACCGAGAAAAAATAACCATCAATATTTTAACGGAAAGTTGCTATAAAAAGACAAAACAAAAAATAGTAACCGTCAATATTTTAACGAAAAGTTACGATAAAAAGACACAACCGAAAAATAACCGTCAACGAAAAAAATAACCGTCAATATTTTAATGAAAAGTTGCGATAAGAAGACACAAACGAAAAAAGTAACCGTCAATTTTTTAACAGAAAGTTGCGAATTGCGATAAAAAGACACAACCGAGAAAAATAACCGTCAATATTTAAACAAAAAGTTACGATAAAAAGACACAACCGAAAAAAATATGTCAATATTTTAAAGGAGAATTGCGATAAAAAAGACACAAATATAAACAGTAACCGTCAATATTTTATCGTAAAGTTACGATAAAAAGACATAACCAAAAATAACCGTCACTATTTTAAAGAAAAGTTACGATAACAAAACACAACCGAAAAAATAACCGTCAATATTTTAACGGAAAGTTGCGATAAAAAGATACAAACGAAAAAGTAACCGTCAATATTTTAACGCAAAGTTATGATAAAAATACACAACCGCAAAAATATCTGTCAACGAAAAAGTAACCGTCAATATTTCAACGAAAGGTTGCAATGAAAAACACAACCGAGAAAAAATGACCATCAATATTTTAACAAAGAGTTGCGATAAAAAGACACAACCGAGAAAAAATTACTGTCAATATTTCAACGAAGAGTTGAGATAAAAAAACACAACAAAAAAAAATTAATTTAACGCAAAGTTGCGATAAAAAGACAAAAACGAAAAAAATAACCGTTGATATTTTTACGGAAAATTGCTATAAAAAGACACAAACAAAAAAGTAACCATCAATATTTTAGCGAAAAGTTACTATAAAAAGATACAACCGAAAAAATATCCATCAACGAAAATAGTAATCGTCAATATTTTAACGAAAAGTTGCAATAAAAAGACACAACTGAAAAAAATAACCGTCATAATTTTAACGAAGAGTTGCGATAAAAAAATACAAACGCAAAAAATAACCGCCAATTTTTATCGGAAAGTTGCGATAAAAACATATAACCGAAAAATAACCTTTAACAAAAAAAGTAACCGTCAATATTTTAACGAAAAGTTGCAATAAAAATACACAACTGAAATAACCGTAAAAAAATAACCGATTTAAACGAAAGGTTGCGATAAAAAGACGCAACCGTTCAGATGTGCAAATTGTATTTATTAGATTGCTATTATATATAGATTTTTAAAATTAAAATTTAATTATTTATTTAACTTAAATTAAAAGAATAATATTATTTAGAGACTCATTCAGTCGATTGAGATGCTCTAAGTAATCCGCAAATAAGAATACAACAGAAATAAGCAAGATAACATTGCCTCCAACAAAACAAATTGGAACCTACCAAAAAAAAAACAAAACAAATTGGAAAGATAAGTAAATAATATCAAACAGCCCATTTAGATCAATAGGTATATATGTACTAACAAAAAAAATCAATAGGTATATATGTAAAGTTTTTTTAATCAGGGGTATAAATTTCTTTATGATGAAATATAGTAACTAAAAGCATAAAGATTATTTAGGTATTGCATCCTTGAAGTGGATGGTGCATATTATTTAAATAACATCACTTTTAATTAATTTGTTATTTATAGCATTGACAAAAAAATAAACTAATATAAATTTATGATAAAAATCAACTACCTATACGGCTACGTTTATTTTTATATAGTGGAGAATATTTAACAACTAACTGGAACTTTAAAAACACAAAGCGAAACTAAATTGGGATAAGCTTTTGAAAAGAAAAAAAAAAAATCAACGGCTAGAACTAAAGAAGGATTGCAAATTGAATCATATTCCATTGCAATTACTTATTTATTATAACCAACAAATTAACTTCTCCGACTAAACGCTATATAAAGCTCCTCCATGTCTCTCTTCTATGCATATCAGTACCACTAGCAAATAAGTGAATATCATTTCTCCATACATACACATTCGGAAGACAATGGGTTCCAATGTTTCAGTTTCATCTGTGCATGATGTTCATTCATCAATGGAAACCAACAATGGATTGGTTGTGGAAATCGAATCAAGAAGACAATGGAAATCTCTCTTCGATTCCATGAAAGGCTCAAACAAATTGGTATACATTACTCGAAAACTACATATAATGTATTTCAATTATCTAACCAAACTAATGTTTGTAGTAAATCTTATACTATTTGTGTTTCCTAATCTTGTTTACATGTAAATGAAATAGTTTTGCTCTTAAGCTAACTGGAAAAATTTCTTGTGGTTTTGAAGCTAGTAATTGATTTTACAGCTGCATGGTGTGGGCCTTGTAAAGCAATGGAACCTAGAGTTAAGGAGATTGCTTCAAAGTACCCAGAAGCTGTGTTTTCTAGGGTTGATGTGGATAGGCTAATGGTAATTGATCTCTTTCTATTACTTGAAGAAGAATTATCATATGGTTTGCTTGTAACCGAAACCATGAACGTTGAGTTTCAAGACTAAGCTATTTGGTATGTATTCCAGGATGTGGCTGGGACATATAGAGCTATTACACTTCCAGCTTTTGTTTTTGTGAAGAGAGGAGAAGAGATTGATAGGGTTGTTGGAGCCAAACCTGATGAGCTCGTGAAGAAGATTGAAAAACATAGGGTTTAAGATTAGTTTTTCCCCTTACAAAACAAAAGATTATACTTTTGAATGCGTGTTGTGAATTGATTGTTTGAAGTTGAGTTTTTGGTTTGTTGTTTTCTGAAAAAAATATAACAATGGTAGTGTGAATATGGCAACTAAAAGAACTATACCATAAAAAAAAAAGAGTCCCATTCGAAGTATATGTTAAAATACTAAATGGAAAAACAAAAGGATACAGAACATATTCGAATAGCTTGTAAAAAGTTCAAAGTTACATATATAACTTATGAAAACAGAATCCGAATAAATTAGATTACAATAAGGAGAGCTTAGACAACCAAAAACACTCAATCCTCTTTACTATTTCGCCATCAAGAGAGGAGATCAAAATCGAAAACCGATCAATTCTGTATATGTATGTACACTGAATTGACTTTTAAATTCAAGAAGCGCCAATTCCGCTACCACCAAGAACTCTCTTGAGATCTATCTTCTGTTCCGATGTTAGCCTCGAGGGGAAACAAATCTCAAAGTTGATTATCAGATCTCCTCTCTTTGAAACTTCTTTAGAAACGGGCATTCCTTCATTAGGAATCACTATCTCCTGCCCCGGTTTAACGATATCCAAAACCGGGATAGTCAGATTCCTCCCGTCTAGTGTTGTTAAGCTAAGAGTGATCCCTGTTAAAGCCTCCAACAGTGAAACTTTCTTGTCTACAATCAGATCATTACCGTCTCTTTTGTAAACCGAATGCGGTTTCTCATCGATAACAAATATGAGATCCGCGGGAGTAACACCGGGTTCTTGGTTTCCTTTCTCTGGAAAAGTTATCTTTGTTCCTTTCTTCCATCCTGGTGTTATGTCTATCTTCAAGATCTCTTCCACTGGTTTTGTCTTTCTGCAATCAAAACATTATTAGAGATTAATATATACAACAAAGAAACCAAACTAAGCCATCCAAGATCAAATATACCTCGGGATTAGAAAAACATGTAACCGAACCCAACAATTTGGATCATTGTTTTGTCTTGATTACAGAATTTTACCATCAAGATCAATCACAAAAACAGAGCAACAAGAAACGTATACAGAGGATCATCCATTGAATCACACTAGAAACCACAAAATAATTAGATCAACGTTTCAACTCTTTTCCAAATTTCATTTACCAAATCAAGAACTACTAATATAACGAACGAAACCGAATCGAAAATAGCGATTTCATCGAGATCATAAGTAATGAAATACTAACCCAAAACCATCAGGAACAACGCGGGAAATCTTCATCTTCCTCCTCCCACCTTTATACAACTCCTCAAGAGTACAAGCCAATTTACTTTCAATCGCCGGAGCTTTCCTATTCACCGGAGTTTTTCTATTCGTCTGACTTCCCGCCTCCGCACTTTTAAATCTCCCGCCACCGCTGACACCGCCACCAAAGACTTTCTCAGAGGCACCAAAAAACTCAGCGAAAATATCTTCAGCATCACGTGGATAATACCTAAATCCCGCATTGTTATTGTTGTTACCAGAAGAGTAATTCTGTTGTTGAGACGACGCCGTTTCTGTCGCGGTAAGTCCGTCTTCACCGTATTGATCATAGATCTGACGTTTATTAGGATCGCTTAAAACATCGTAAGCTTCGGAGATTTGTTTGAACTTAGCTTCAGCTTCTTTCTTGTTTGAAATTGGGTTTTTGTCAGGGTGCCATTTCATCGCAAGTCTTCGATACGATTTCTTTAGATCGTCTTCGGTTGCGGTTGGATTCACGTTGAGTACATTGTAGTAATCAACCCCCATTGACAAGAACAGTTCGAAATCGTCACGAAACTTTAGAGGGCGTGTTGAGAATGACAAAGACAGAGTAATGAGAAGAATCAAAAATGAAGAGAAAGCGTGAGGAAGGAGATAATGAAGAAGAGAGTAGTGGAGTCCGTGTATGTAAAGTAAGGTAGAAGAAGATGACAAGCATAATCTTTTAATACTTTAATTGGAACCTTTCTTCTATTTTATTGTCGTTATTGTATTTGTAATCTTTTATAAAATCAATACAGATACCTTTACGGGGGATAAGAAAGTTGTTTGTGCTAATGGGCACAATTTAATTTATTCATTACTAACTATTAATTATGAGAGATTATCTAAGAATTAAGCTATGGTTTGTTTCAAGTAATTCTAACAAATATTAAGAATTTAATCAATTCACAAAGCACCATAACATCAATTGTTGGTTGGTTAAGGAAATTTTGCACATCTAATAATAAATCCATCGATTTAGCACCATTTCTAGTATTCTAAGAGAAAAACGACCTTAGAATACTAGAAAACCGAACAAAAAGGTATGCCTCTGCGATTATAGGTTACATGGTATTTATATAAGATCAGTCGGAGCCCTATAACTAAGAAAAATAAAACTTAACAAAAACCAAACCGATCGGTTTCAAGCGTCTTATGTACCGACCAGTACAATTCCAACCGTTCGGTCATGATCATCAATCTTTTTTTCCCAAATGACCCATTTTTTTCCATTTCCTCTCTAAACTCCTCGTTTTACCCAAAAAAGTCCAGAAACCTAAAAACAATAAAAAAGTATCAAAAACTATATGTTCTCGACAAAAAGACTAAAGAATTTATACTAAAAAGACATTTTAAAACCGTTAAAATATGATTTAACACAGAATGTAATGGGAGACAATTTTATCTTTGAATACTTTAATGAAATCTTTATTCTATTTCAAATGATGTATTTGTATTTGTAATTTATAATGAAAATGCTCGTTTTTTTGTAATCCTAAAAACCAGTCCCGATCCGACAGTTAGTGAAAATTACCCAAATGGCGGTTAGTGTCTCGATATTGTCGGATTGGGGTAGTACCCGAAAAAACCCAAAGTTTTGGGTAATTCATATAATTTGAGTATTTAAGGGGAGCTTAGGTATTTTTAAAGGTGTTTATTGATAATTCATATACTTTCGAGTATTTTTGAAGATTTTAGGAAGTCATTTTTTGGGGTTTTGGGTAATTCAAATATTTTCAAGAACTTTCGGATAATTTGAGTAGTTTGAGTTGTTTATTACCAAGGATTTTTGGGTTATTAGAATACTTTCAAGTACTTTTCAGAAGTATTTTTCAGAGTAGGTAAAACCCGATCTGAACCGAACTTGGTAGGAATTGAACCAAAGCCTATCCAAATATTATAAATACCCGAATAGGGTCTATTAGCCTAATCCCGGAAACTTAGAAACCCGAATCGAACACTAGAGGATACCCGAATGCCCAACCCTATAGTTACCCATCTTCGATTTGTTACCAAACTTGTACTCGTCTAAAAAGAGGTATATGTGACTTTCAAGATGAGTAACAAGTATACACTACAATAAAGATGATATGTATATAGTAAAATCTGCAGTGTTGGTTAGACACTCATTTAATTTATCTTCAAACTACTCAACCACCACCACGAGGCAATGTAAAACTCAAACAAAAAGTTTAAAAATTGCAAATAGCTTCAAAAATTAAACATATTCTTTGGAAAATGTTATCTGGTGCCCCAACAACTGTTAAGAATCTCAAGCGTAGACATATCAATCAAAACTCAATTTGTCGAAGATGTTGAATGGAAGAGGAGGAAACCAAACATATGTTCTTTGATTGTGATTATGCCAAAGCAATGTGGAGAGGATCGTGTATTCCAAACCCTATCCTTTTTTTTTTACTGTAATTTCATATTCGGAGAACAAGTAGAATTTGGACGATCGAGTTCTAGCAGACTTTACGAGAAGTAATATTTTGATTTTTCAACAGAGAGATATCCAATAGAGACAAAGCCTTCACATGCTTCATAAGGATACAAAAGAGTGGTTAGGTATTTTGGGGGACTAAAATAATTTGCAAGTGGCTCATAATAGAAGTCTCCCAAGTAATGAATCAGGTCATCTTTGGACTACACATGATAAAGTATGAATCAAGTGAAATTATGATGGATTTTTAATTAACATGAACTTTTTTTTTTTAAACATCATAATATGAATTATGATGGATTTTTTATTAACATGAACTTACCTTCAAGAGAATGATGGATAATGCGTGGTGATCATGGAATTTATCGGGTCAAGCAATAGGTTCAATATATAACAAGTTAGGCATAGGGAAGTGAACTTCATGCTTACTTTTTGCTTTGCAAGCTATTGGTGTATAGGGTATAAAAAAATTTAATTCAAAAGTGGATAACCAATAAGTTCCAATGATTGGATAACTAATTTCGGCATATATAACTGGATTTGCAAAATCAGACATTGGAGAAAAAAATTTGAGGCAAATCAAGTCAGATGGGTGAAAAGAGAAACTATCAAACCTGCTGATCTTTTAGCAAACCAGAGAACACCTCAAAAACTTAATTTCTTTTTCATTATTTTCGTTCCAAATTTTCTATTTCAAATGTTACATTGTGATTACATTTGTTATAAAATTTAATAATAAAGGAGATGATAAAAATAAAGAAGCTAATTTGTAAGAGATTGAGAAATTCCTTTTTGGTGTGCCTCTTTCCAAAAATGCCCCACTAAATCTGAAAAGAAATAAAGTTTTAATGTTTGACAAGATAATATGTGTCATATTTGATTTTGACAATGCTATAATGCACATTAAAATCTTAAAATCTTAGAATAGTTAATTATTTCTCTTCTCGCATTAAAACTTTGGTGCACATTATAATCTTAGAGATTACAAGATAAAATATTTTATGTTTGACAGTAATATTGAATTAATTTCATATATGAATAAAAAAGATTTTTCTTTCAATATATCATAATTACTTTTAAATTTGGTTATATATCTTACTATGTTAAGAAAATATTTTTTATTTGCTCTTTGTGTGTTTAGAAACTAAACTTTAAGACATCTATTAGTTATTCTAATTTTTTTTTTTTTGTCTTGAAGCATGTTATAATTATTAAAAAAACTTTTACACATGTAAGAAGCTAAATATTACTATGTGTCAAATTTTTGTAACTACATAAACATATCAAATTTGATATGTATATTTTAATAATCCAATATAAATAGATGTTAAGTAGCCACTAAGTTGCAACATTGCAATCGAACTTTTTTTCTTACCATTCTACTGAAATTCTAAACTTTTTAACTTTTCAAAAAATGGTCAGTTGATATTCAAGAAGCTCGTTAAAAATAATATTATACATATTGATACATATATATATGTGTGTGTGTGCGCTTTATGCATACATAATCATGTATTTCTTATATCATGAATTCATTAAAACTTTAACTTAATTTTTTCCAGGGAAATTATTCATTTACGTTAGGAGATACTGATCAAATTTTAAAGGAAAAAGCTCTAACATGTATTTATAGTTTTAATGGTATGTTAACACAATCTAATGGTTATGAACGTATAAATATATATATATATATATATATATATATATAACATTGTAATTGGGCTTTTAAAATTTAAAATATGTTTATGAATGTATTTTTTTTAGGTGTTATATCTGTAAGCTATAATGCACAACTGAACCGATTTCTCGTGGTAGGAGAAGGAATTAAGGAGACCGAAATTCAGAGGAAGATAGATGAGATTTATAACCCAAACAAAGAGAGGTCCATAATGTGTTGTATTCTTTAATAATGATATGGTGTTTTATTTATTTCTTCTTATTTGTAAAAGTATTTATATTATGACTAATAATTGTATGGTGCTTAACTATGTATTCATATTTTACAAAATGTCTGGATTTTTCTTTGATTATTGATTAAATTCATGCTCTGTTTTTATACTCGTATAATGTTTTATCGAAAATAAATATAGTAGATGCATTTTTTTTATCACAAGAATGGCGAGGAAAAATAATTGTAGTTTGTTGTTATATGCATCTCTCTTTGATTTCTACAATACCATTGAAAAAAATTATATATTTAAAATGAAAAAACTTTTGTTTATCTATGATTCATTAATTATCTTCAAAAAAATTTCTCATATAACTTTACATTCATAATATAATAATAAAAAGACATGTACTTATGCATTCGAGTGGTTTGTATTAGTGTTGTCTTTAGAGATTGGCATCCTTCGTTAGGAATCACTATCTCCTGAACTTGTTTAATTATATCCAAAACCGGGATAATAAAATTCTTCATGTCTAGAGTTGTTAAGGTAAGCGTGAGCCTTGTCACCACCTCCAAAAACGAAACTTTCTTTACAATCAGATCATTTCTGTCTCTTTTGTACACCGAATGCGGTTTCTCATCACTAACAAAAATGAGATCGGCGGGAGTAACGCCGGGTTCTTTGTTTCTTTTCTCAGGGAAAGTTATCTTTGTTCATTTCTTCCATCCTGGTGATTGGTGTTATATCTGTCTTCAATATCTCTTCCACTGGCTTTGGCTTTCTGAAATCAAAACATGATTAAAGATTTGACAAAACAAAGAAACCAAACTAAGCTAAAAAAAATCAAAGTAACCAATAAGAAAACTAATATGGAAGATCACAAACAATATTAACATCACTTATTTGTATCAATTTTTCCTAATAGACGTCAGATAACAAAACTAAATAAAAAATGGTGATTTTATCAAGATCATGAGGATATGAGAGAATTATGTAGAATACTAACCCAACACAATCAAGTACAATGCGAGAAATTATCATCTTCCTCCTCCTACCTTTATACAACTTCTCAAGAGTACAAGCCAATTTACTCTCGATCACTGGAAATTTCCTATTCACCAGAGTAGGTGTGCTATTCGTCTGACTTTTCTCCTCTGCACTTCTAAACCTCCCACCGCCGCGGAAACCGCCAAAGACTTTCTCAGATGTGCAAAAAGCCCAGCACAAATATCTTCAGTATCTCGTTGTCCTGGATAATACCTAAATCCATCATTGTTATTCTTGTTACTAAAAGAGT